CATGCCGATAGCTCCGCGTGCGCTTGCGCAATGCGTGCTGGTGCCCCCCATGCCCACTGCTCAATGGCCGCGCGATCCTCCAGCACGCTGCGCATCTGCGCCTGCACACGAGATCCCCTTGACACATGCCACGCGCCTGTGCCTGCGTGCGCGATTCCCCCGCGTGCGCCATGCATCTGCGTACGTGCACGTGATTAACCCTGCGCGCCCTGCGCCTCTGCACATGTGCACGTGTCCCTCGCCCCTCCCCCCCCTGCACACGCGCACCAGATACCCGACAATCAGCTGTCGGGCGGCGGCGCACGCAAATGCGCGGTGGGGCACTTCCAGGCGAGCTCTCGTGTGCCGCGGGAAATGGCTCTGCGTTCCACTTCCGCCACGCGTGGCATAGGTTCGCCATCACGGCCCTGTAGTCTTTATGTGAGATTTTTATGCTTGGTCGCCACATAGAATAGAATGGAGTGGAACAGAACAGAACAAAACAGAATAGAATAGAATGGAAGAAGAACAGAACAGAACAGAACAGAACAGAACAGAACAGAACAGAATAGAATAGAATAGAATAGAATAGAATAGAATAGAATAGAATAGAATAGAATAGAATAGAATTCTTTATTGGCCAAATGTGATTGGACACACAAGGAATTTGTCTTTGGTGCATAAACTCTCAATGTACATAAAAGAAAAGATACATTTGTCAAGAGTCAAGAATCATCAGATACAGCACTTAATGATGGTCATAGGATGCAATAAGCCACCAATTCCTACTAGGAGACAGTCAATATAGATCATGAGGATACAAGTGACAAAGTTACAGTCATACAGTCACAAGTGGGAAGGGATGGGTGATAAGAAGTTTAATAGTAATAGTAGGGCAGACTTTGGAAATAGTTGGACAGTGTTGAGGGAATTATTTGTTTAGTAGAGTGATGGCGTTCGGGACAAAACTGTACTTGTGTCTACTTGTTCTGGTGTGCAGGGCTCTATAGCGTTGTTTTGAGGGTGGGAGTTGAAACAATTTATGTCCAGGATGTGAGGGGTCGCTAGATATTTTCACAGCCCTGTTTTTGACTTGTGCAGGATACAGGTCCTCCATGGAAGGCAAGAGGGTAGTAATTGTTGTTTCTGCGGTCCTAATGACTCTCTGAAGTCTGTGTCAGTCCTGTTGGGTTGCAGAACCAAACCAGACAGTGATAGAGGTGCAGATGACAGACTCCATCCTTCCTCGGTAGAACTGGATCAGCAGCTCCTTGGGCAGTTCGAGCTCTCTGAGTTGGCGCAGGAAGAACATTGTTCGATGTGCTTTTTTGATGACATTTTTGATGTTAGGTGTCCATTTTAGGTCTTGTGATATGATAGAACCTGGAAATTTGAAGGTCTCTACTGTTGATACTGTGTTGTCTAGTATTGTAAGAGGTGGTCGTATGGAAGGCATTACGAGAAGAGCAGCCCTATGCGTTTGCATAATAAATACACTAAAATGCAGGAACCTGCTTTGGTGGCTTGGATGCAGGATTTTCTCCGAGTCCTGAGAAACTTCAGAGTTAGGAAACCTTGTCTGCGGGCTCTCCTGCTTGAGCACGGGGTTAGACTAGAAAACCTCCAAGGCCCCTTTCAACTCTCGTCATTCGGTTGGCTGTAACTGCACAAGGAACCAGCCTTCAAATACTAAGAAGGTTAAGAAATGAAGGGCAAGCCAACAAGATGGAAAGAAATTCAAGTGAAAGCAGCTTCCTTTTTTTCTTCCTGTGAACATCTGCAGACCTTTCAAGACAAAGGTGGCTTTTGAGGGATTTTCCCCTCCAGAATCCGGACCCCCGTTTTCCTGCACGATGGAGGTGACAGTTTTGGTGCGATTAACAAGCCAGGAGGATCTCTCATCTGTCCCGCCAGCCACATTTAAATCAGAGTCAAATCTCACATCCTGTTCTGGTTTGCCGGCAGCAGGTGCGGACGGCTGAGGTCTCGGAGAGCGAGGACTCGGATGAGGGGCCTGCGTGTGATGTGCGGATGGGGCCAGGACCATCAGGGAGTGGAGTGCTGCCTTTGGAGATTGTGGAGGCTGGCAGCAGTGATGAAGAGCACCACGAGGAGCCTGTGCCAAGTGTGCATGCGTGCAGGGCTGCTCAAAGGAAAGAGCAGCTGCAGCAGCCTGGGCGACTCAGGAGTAAGGCTGCAAGGTAACGGCCCCTCCCTGAGAAGATAAAAGCCAGCTGAGAAACCAGGAAGCAAAGAAGTTTTTGCACTCAAGCCTTGTGGATGTTTGGACTCTCTTAGTTTGTGTTTGGAGGCTCCGTGCGTTTCAAATATTTCTTAGTAACTTTATCTGGTGTTCTTGGCAGCCTTGCAACATCTTGGCCAGGCTCTTTCTTATCAGAGCTAATTGGTTTGAAGCAGCCTTTTACCCATGAAGGAACGGGATTCATAAGGAAACATTAAATGGTTCTGCTGTTACCTTTGTCTCGTGTTTGCTTCCTTGGAACCAGGTTTGGGTCAGAACACATCCCTGCCGGATGCAGCCTCTGTTTAGGTCTCGTTCTGGAGGAGAGTGGAAGATTTAGCATTCGCATCCAAGTTTTAACAAGTCTTCCAAATAGGCCCCAGGAGGCCAGGGAAGAAATAACACCCATTTATCAGCATTTTCCTGCTTGGTAGAAGTTGCTTGGCGCACAATCCACCGGGGATTAGTCTCTTGTGGGAGGCACAGAGCTCTTTCATCCTGACTTTCAAATTCACAATAGAGCTGGAAGGGACCTCGGAAGGTCTTCTAGCCCAACCCCCTGCACAAGCAGGAGACCCCAAAAGCAAAGTTGTGATGGGAATCTGGCTTCCCCCACCCCCCCCCCCCCAATTGACTTCGCTTGTCAGAAAGTCGCAAAAGGGGAACCCGTGACCCCGGGGACACTGCCCCCCGTCATAAATGTGAGTTTGCTTGCCAAGTGTCTGAATTTTGGCTCCTGTGATCGAGGGGATGCAGCGACGGTCATAAGTGTGAAAAGCAGACCTGAGTGTCTTTTTTTTTCCAGCGCTGTTCTGTATCTGAACCATCACCGAACAAACTATTTGCAAGTCGAGATAACCATAAAAATTGAGGACTAGAATAGAACAGGGCCGGAAGGGACCTTGCAGATCATCTAGTCCAGTGGTCGCCAACCAGTGGACTGGGGGGGCCACTGGTGGCCCGCGAGAAAATGGTGGTGGTCCGCAGAGAAATGTCAACCCTCAAAGCAATTTAATCCAGGCTGCGCGGGAACTCAAGGCTGCGCCGCCCACATGGCCCGCGGGAACACGAGGCTTGCGTCGCTTGCATTGCAAACAACACGAGGTAGTGAGGGGAGGGCGGGGAAAGGGTCTCTGCTGCTTCTGGTTCTTCTGCAGAGACCCTGGGAAAATCCCCCACCCCGTTTTCCTATTGGTCGATCATTGATTGATTTATTTTGGATTGCAGGATATCCTCTCTCTCTCTCTCTCTCTCTCTCTCTCTGTCGCTCTCAGTCTCTCTCTCTCTGTGTCTCTCTCTGTCTCTCTTTGTGTTTGTGTCTCTCTGTGTCTCTGTCTCTCTCTGCCTCTATGTGTGTGTCTCTCTGTCTGTTTTTCTTTTTCTGTCTCTGTCTCTCTCTTTGTCTCCGTGTCTCTCTCTCTCTCTCCCCCCCTCTCTATCTCTACCCCCCCCCCCCACAAGAACGGAGTTGAAAAGCAGGTTAGAAATGTGGCTGGGGGTGGGGAGGTGAGGGATCTTTCTCTGTGTGTGTGTGTATGTGTGTGTGTGTGAGAGAGAGAGAGCACGGACATCACTGCCAGCCCTTCAAGGTTAGATCAGATCTCTCTCTCTCTCTGTCTCTCTCTCTCCCTCTCTTATCTGTCGTAACTTCAAACGGTCGCTAAATGAACTGCCGTAACTCAAGGACACCCTGTAGCCTCTTATTTCCTCTGAGCATCTCTTCCTTCTCTACTTCCCGCGTCAAACTGCGGGAGAATAATGGGATCAAGTAACTTTTCTTCTAATTAGCCTGAAATCGAACCCAAAACTCAAACCAACCCATCTGTGCATTTTCTTTCAGGACCAAGAAGATTATTGGCTGCTGGTGATTTTTATGCTGCTCCGTCTAATCGAACTGGATCACAAGAAGATCTCTGTGGAGGAAAAGGTAAATGCCCCAACCCTGGAACGATGGGAGGCTGAACCTTGAGCTAGTCAGGATCGAACTGCTGGCAGTGGGCAGAGTTAGCCTGCAATATTGCTTTCTAACCACTGCGTCACCATGGTCGGTCCTTCCTTCCTTCCTTCCTTCTCTCCCTCCCTTCTTTAGCACTTACCAATAGCACTTAGACTTATCTACTACTTCACAGTTCTTTCCAGACCTCTCTAAGCGGTTTACAGGGTCAGCCTCTTGTCCCCAACCATCTGGTCCTCACTTTATTGACTTTGGAAGGATGGAAGGCTGAGCCAACCTTGATCTGGTCAGGATTGAACTGCTGGCAGTGAGCAGTGAATTAGTGTGCAATACTGCAGTCTCACCCCTGCCCCACCATGGCCCTTCCTTCCTCCCTCCCTCCCTCTTTCTTTTTTCTTTCTCTTTCTCTTTCTCTCTCTTTCCCTTTCTCTTTCCTTCCTTCCTTCCTTCCTTCCTTCCTTCCTCCCTCCCTCCCTTTCTTTTTTCTTTCTCTTTCTCTTTCTCTCTCTTTCCCTTTCTCTTTCCTTCCTTCCTTCCTTCCTTCCTTCCTTCCTTCCTCCCTCCCTCCCTCCCTCCCTCTTTCTTTTTTCTTTCTCTTTCTCTTTCTCTCTCTTTCCCTTTCTCTTTCCTTCCTTCCTTCCTTCCTTCCTTCCTTCCTTCCCTCCCTCCCTCCCTCCCTCCCTTAGCACCTACTAATAGCCCTTAGACTTATACACCATTTCACAGGGCTTTCCAGCCCTCTCGAAGCAATCTACAGAGTCAGCCTCTCGCCCCACACAATCGGGGCCCTCATTTTACCCACTCCGGAAGGACGAGTCAACCTTGAGCCGGTCAGCATCAAACTGCTGGCAGTTGGCAGAGTTAGCCTGCAATGCTGCATTCTCACCACTGCGCCACCTTGTAAATCAGCCCGTACACACCATTAACCTACATTTTCCCCCCTTTCTCTTAACGTGGGAGCAGGTTGCCGCTGTGAACAAGTACGACCCCCCTCAGGAAGTGGCAGCTTCTCAGGACCACATGACTCAGATCATGTACAGCATGATGCAACCCCAGCACATCTTCCACAGGTGAACCCCCCCCCCTTCCTCTCCCTCCTCTTCCTCTCCTCTCCTTCTCTTTCCAAACTAGAGGGGGTCCCAGAAACGCCCTGGCAGTACGGAATTGAACTGAATCTGGGTTACCCCAGCAGACGATCCCCTTGTGTTAGTCCTCCCCTCTCTTCAAAGCAACGATTCCCGCCTCTTCATTTCCTTGGAAACAACCGGTCAGGGCAGCGGTTTTCTCACGCCCCAAACGAGAGAGGCGCAAGGAGCCCTTAACAGCACCCACTGATCACGAAAAACTCCCCCGGAAGTGACGAAGACTTGCAGCTATGATGGCTTCAAGATGTTTCTCTTAATATCAGAGGATAGAATCGGAATAGAACAGAACGGAAATAGAACAGAAAAGAGTAGGGAATAGAATAAGAATAGGGATTAGAATTAGAATTAGAATAGGAATATGGGATAGGGATAGGATAGGGTAGGGTAGGGTAGGGTAGAATGGAATGGAATAGAATAGAATAGAATAGAATAGAATA